ATCAGGTTCAGACTTTAGAGTTCCGATATAACTCTAGAATTCAGTATATTCAGACCTGACTTTAGAGATCAGTACACTCAGACATGACTCTAGACTTTAGTATCTTTCGATTTGACTCTAGAGTTCCTCAGGTTTCATGTCAGTATTTATCGGCCATTTTTGGCAACTCGTCAAGAGATCTGTGTGTCTTAAGTAATCAGTCAGAATATCATCACGTGTTCAATAATCTTGAACTTTCTCAATGTTCAGATGCCGCCACGTAGGGAACTCGATTGTCCGGCTCCTACTCAGGCTACAGTGGTCGCCCAGTTTCGCGACTATCATGCCGAAAAGTTCTCAGGGCAGGGAGATCCTCGCATAGTTGACGAGTGGATTCAGGGCCTGGAGTTTATCTTCGAGGTCATGGAGTGCCCTGAGAGATATCGCGTTGTTTGCGCTCAGCTTCAGCTCACCGGTGATGCTAGGCTCTGGTGGAACGCTTACTGGAGCATGCGTCCCGGCGAGAAGGCGGGATGTACATGGGAGATGTTTAAGGAGTTAATCCGCGAGAAGTACTATCCCACATACTACCGAGCAGAGATGGAGCGTCCGTTTCTATCGCTCCAGCAGGGTACTCGTACTGTTGACGAGTACGAGAGGGAGTTCACTAGACTTGCAGCTTTCGTTCCTGATTTGGTCCGCATGGAGGCCCAGCGAGCATAGCATTTCATTGACGGGCTTTACCCAGCAGTCCGTCATAACATCGTAGGCCACGGGACACAGACGTACGCACGTGCAGTTTCCATCGCCCAGGAGGTGGACGCCAGCATCAGGAGGGAGGCCATCCGTGATCATCCTCAGTCATCCGTTCCTGCTCAGTCATCTTCAGTTCCACCGATGCCAGCTCTACCATCTGCTCAGCCACCAAAGAACAACAAGAGTAAGGGGAAGGGTGCCCCGACAGATAAGAGGACCCGACGGAGGCTACAGCAGATCCCTCAGTGCCCGACATGCGGACGACTTCACCGAGGCGAGTGTCGCTTTGGTCAGGATGTATGCTACTACTGTCACGAGCTCGAACACTTCACGAACCATTGTCCGAAGAAGGCGCAGCAGCCTCAGCAGCCACCGCAGCAGCAGCAGCCCCGTCAGCAGGCACAGAGGCAGCCTCAGCAGCAGCAACAGAGGGGCATACAGCAGGCCCGAGTTTACGCCGTTGATCAGACTAAGGCCGAACAGCAGCCAGGTACCATGTCAGGGATGGTTATTCTTAATAATGTTCCTGTGTTTGCTTTATTCGATACTGGAGAGACACATTCTTTCATTTCACGACGATTTCTCGATGCCATCGGAGTTCGTGCTACTTCCGCTATCGATCCTCTTGAGGTGAGATTGGCCTCGGGACAAAAGATAGTAACTTCAGCTAAAGCTTCAGATCTTAGCCTTTCCATCGGTGGCCGAGTTTTGTCTACCGACGCGTTTGTTCTTGAGATGAGGGACTTTGACCTTATTCTCGGAATGGATTGGCTATCTTTTTATCATGCGGATATCAGATGCCACGACCGGGAAATTACGCTTTATTTTTTAGGAGACGAGTCGATTACTTTCTTCGGCTCCAGAAATCGTTCTTTGCCTCATGTTATTTCGATGGCGAAAGCCACTAAGTTGCTACGACGAGGCAACTGCCAGGGTTATCTGGTGAGCCTTGTCGATGAATCTCAGAAAGCACGTTCACCTCACGATGTTCCAATCGTTCGAGATTTTGTGGACGTATTCCCAGACGAGCTTCCAGGAGGAGCGCCTAACCGGCAGGTGGAGTTCTCTATCGATCTCATTCCAGGGGCCGGTCCAGTATCCAAAGCCCCGTACCGTATGGCGCCTAAGGAGTTGCAGGAGCTTAGGACTCAGATTCAGGAGCTGTTACGGCTCGGTTTCATCCGACCGAGCGTGTCACCTTGGGGAGCACCCGTTCTCTTTGTTAAGAAGAAGGACGGATCCATGCGCATGTGTATCGACTACCGGGATCTTAACCGGTTGACGATCAAGAACAAGTACCCGCTTCCCAGGATCGACGACTTATTTGATCAGCTGCGGGGAGCCTGTGTGTTCTCAAAGATTTATTTACGATCAGGCTACCACCAGCTGAAGATTAAGGAGTCAGATATCGCTAAGACCGCTTTCAGGACTCGTTACGGCCATTACGAGTTC